GGAAAGGACCCGGGAATGTGGTGTATTGGGGAGGCCGATGTATCGCCTTTGCTATGAGAGGCAACAATTTCGAAGCAGCCAAGTGGATTTATCAGTATTCGCCTCATTCATACAGTGGTGAGGACATTATGCTGATGATTCAGTGGGCTTTGACTGCCGGGAACTTCGAACTGGCCGAGGTATTCCTACCAAGGGGGAGGAAATTATTGGGGTTTGCTGTTGGTTGTCCACACTTGGACGTACTGAAAATGGTGATTGAAGCGGGAATTTTACGCTTCGATGAAGCTGGAGCGGCTGAAACAGTCGAACTCTTGGTGCCTCACGGGAGACTGGACCTCATGCAGCGTGTTTTCCAGCTCTACTCACCTCCTCGACCTCGGAGAGATGGGGATGTGAACTGGAAGAGTTATTGGTATCCAGCTATTAAGGCTGCGTGTGCACGTGGAGACTTGGTGATAGTTCGATGGTTAATAGAACATCATTACGGTCGAGAGATCTGTAGGGGCAACAGAGAAGACGTAGAACACGACCATTTCCTCTGCATCGCAGCAGAAGAAGGACATGTCGATGTGATGCAGTACCTTTTCGATCAAGGGGCAGATGATCAGTACCCAGATTCGCTGCTTAGAGCGGTTCGGAAGGGTCAGTTGAATGCGGTTAAGTGGCTGCTGGAACATCATTTATACACCGAATTATGGGAGGGTGAACGTGTTATTGAAGAAGCTGCGAGGAACGGAAGACTGGAGATCCTAAAGCTACTTCATGGCTTGGATTCATCGGTTGGTAAGTAGCCTCTCGCTCGATCAGTAGAAACCAGTGAATGGTGGTCTCGATCGTGCTATACGCTGGATGTAGCTGCCTCAAATGGCCACTTCGATATTGTGCAATGGCTACAGCTGATTCGCCCCAAAACTTGTTCAAGTAACGCTATGGACGACGCTGCAGCGAATGGACAGCTTGAGGTTGTTAAATGGCTACACGCTAACAGATCGGAAGGATGCACAAAGAGCGCCATGGACGTAGCTGCATCAAATGGCCACCTTGATGTGGTTCAATGGCTTACCTTCAACACGAGAGTAGGGTGCTCGACGCTGGCAATGGATCTTGCAGCAAGGAATGGCCATCTTGACGTGCTCAAGTGGCTGCGTAAGAACTCTAGCAAGGGTTGTACAGCTAACGCCTTCGAGAACGCCATCGAGCACAGTCACGTGCGAGTTGCCTGCTGGCTAAGAAAGCACTTCCAGTTTGACGTACCAAAAACAATGACGATCCATCCACCGAACCAGTTTGATATGGTGCTGTTCCTGTTCTCACACTTTCCGGAGACGTTCGAGAATGGCAATTCTGCTAGACCTCGACTGGTTATCGTTTCAGGACCAAACGATGAAATAGTCCCGCGGTAGGTACAGGCAAATGAGCCTGGTATTACCCTTCACGCCTTGTGAAGGCATTTTTGATCAGTGCATCGGCACAAAATCGTTTTTAATGGTAGTGGTATGAAGTAAACGTCCCACAATGTTTTTTTAAAACTATATTTTAGAAATGGTAAAACAAACAAACAAAAAAACTAAACATTCATTTTTTTCATTGACTTGTACATGACGACTGGAAAACTGCTATAGTCTCACTTACACTGACAGAGATATAAAACATCTAGTGGCGGAAGCTGAACGACGGGGCCGTGGTTGTCGTCGGAGTATCGCCCTGAGTGGTGGGAGCCTGGTTCCACGTGTTCCAGCTAGATGTCCAAGTAGACGTCTGCGTCGTGCCAGACTGCGAGGATGCCGACTCCGGGGCTGGTGTTGCAGTGTTACCAGTCCACGAGTTCTGCGATTCACCACCGGATGGAGTACTGGAGTTCTCACTCGACGGACTGTTAGAGTCACCGCTGGAAGGCGTGTTGGAATCTCCGCTGGATGGAGTGTTCGAGTCACCACTGGATGGGGTGTTGGAGTTATCGCTGGATGGGGTGTTAGAGTTATCGCTGGACGGAGTATCCGACTCGGCACCAGTAGTCGACGACGTCTGCGATGTCTGGGAAGTCGTAGTCGTCGAGGAACCACCTGATCCTTCAAGAGGAATGCAGTCCTCTGCAATTTCACAAAAAAAAGAAAAAAAACGTTAGTTACCATGTAGGCAAGTAGGTTATCATCAATGAGAACTTACTGTACGACTGCCACACGGTCTTGCTGTCCACACCCTGGAACGCCAACCAGTAGAAACGCATCTCCTTGCATCCGCCGTTGTCGCACGACGAGTAATCCACAGGGAACACCGACTT